CCCCAAATTCCCTGGCCTCTTCAGCCAGGTGGTGATAATAAAGTAACTGTGGACCCTCTTTGCTAAAGCTGTAAATCTGATGAGAGTCAGTGTTTTGGTGAACCAGTCCCCCCTGATGTTAAACAGTGCTCCAGTTGGCTAACACAGTAAATACTGACCAGTGATTCAGTGAACACATAGAATGATATACTCAACTACGTAAACATAATTGTAACGTATAAGTAAGCAAACTTATGTGTGCTCTAAACTAAATCTTAACTATGATAGAATTGCCATACGTAAACAAAGTAAACACACAAGTTGACTAATCAACAAGCATAATGTTAATCTTCTACTAATTAAGTTCTTAATTCATCAAATGTTAGAATCAACCTTAAAGTATGACTTTGTTAATAATTTTACCCAACAGGGCTCATTTACTTTCATCTTTACCCCCTTCATTGGCAGATTCTGTAACATACTGTATATCCCCAACAATTTATGAATGCTAATCCAAGAAATATAAATTGTGCCTTCATATAATTCACTTATGAGATGGAAAGATGCAGCAAATCCACCCAGATTGATGGCTTATTTGGAAAGTGTGAGTCTTTTATCACAGAAGAGGTAGGTCAGAGCATAATCTGCTGCCATTAGCTATATCTCTTATTGTCTTCTCTGTACACTATGTCAGCTATTGTTATTTTCACTGCGCACAAAATCACTTGCAGATCACAGCAGCAAAACCTCCACATTATTAGCCTCTCTACTTCTCTACTATATAGGCTGTAAAAGTGCTCCAGGCCTTGAGCAGTATGGAGGCCTGGTTGGAGACAGTGGAGCATTCTATGAAGGAATCCACGCTCGCTGATGACCCTGAGACAATGAGCATGGCTGAGAGGGAGAGTTGTGTCCTGCAGAAAGAGGTGGCAGCACGTGGCTTGGAGCTCAGTGCTCTGAGGCAGGAGGTGGACCAGCTCCATAGCCACTGTCACCCACACACAAGAGGCCTGCCAGCACGCATGGAGGAGGTGGAAAGAAAGTGAGTTTTTCAAAGAAAGAGAGTTAAAGGTCATGGGTGATACCTGACTCACTTGGTCAGGAAATAAAGTTAAGACTTTTGTCAGTGTTTCCAAGAGGTCACAGGTTTGGGCTTGCCATGTCTGCAGTCCAACATGGAAGAGTCTGTTCACCGATCTTATTTAAGACAAACAGTTTCACCCTGCAAACCACAAAATATATATCCATAGATCTCATAAATTTCTTTTTCTTCAACCTGGCAAAAAAGACTCTCCATGCTCTCATTCACTGCAAGGCTCAAGTTTATTCATCTGTGATTCATGCAATACTTAGTAAGGTCTATCCCACAGTCCTGACAACCACAGGTTGTCACTGTGTGTCAGAGTCACCTATTCCATGTTTACAAGATGACAGTTCGCCTCTTTGGCTGACCATGAACTCTCAGTAAAACGTTACTGGACATACCTATGTCCATAAACACATGTTCAGCCCCCGTAAAGAACACAAAGCTGACAAAAGAAAATAAAGAAATGGAAAGGGCACAGTTTAAGTGTTTCCAGGATGACGGTGTTAGATGGGGCAGGGATGGACACGTGCAGTCTAAGGGACCACTGTTGCAGGCAGAGGTTCTGAATAAGCAGCTGGAAGACATTTGGAATGATGTCATTATTTAACACTACCTACAAGCAACTTAAGGCTTGTCTGGAAAAAAAAAAAAACATTTCAAGTTGCTCCCTTTACCATCTCAAATATAAACTCTGCATGGATAGGCTGCCTTCATGCTCTGAAGTACAGGATATGTTTATGAGACACATGATATATGACCACATAAACAGTGCTCTAGTATGGTGACATGCACTCAGCATGCTGCTTGTGGTCGCTGCAATGTGGTTCAGCTGAAGGATGCAGGGTTGTATATGCGGATGTGGGGTAGAGTTAAGGTGTAGCTGGTCATTACAATATTTCTGTTGGTGTGCTCTTCCCAGGTACCATTATGTCCAATGTGCACTGACCCAGCAGAGCTCAGAGCTTCAGGACATACGAATGCTGACTGAGTTCCTGGAGCGTGTGGAACTGGAGGAGAGCCAGGAGCTAAGTGGCAGTCAGTACAGCCTGGGCCAGGTAAAGAAACATCTCACCAGAGATGATGCTTTAAGGGTCAGCTTGCTCAAATTAAAATAAAAAAATCTCATTTAAGAAAGCTTTAGTTTTGAAGTTTCTGCCTCCATCTAATGCAGTGGAGGAGAATGGAATTTCATTTATGATATACAGTATGTCTTTCCAGAAACCATGTCCAGACTACTCTAAATACTCTGGACAGTGTGTGTTCTGTGGCTTATTCACAGCAACACTGACTCCGTTTTTGTTATAACAGTATTTTATTGACTTTTGTTGTATTGGGATGGCATCAGAAATTTTAATAGGCTGATATGAATATACAAATGGCAAAAAAAACAAACCTATCAGGATGAATAGATACCTCTATGTGTATAATCTGTATTAGTGGACCAGTCACTTGTCTCAACTATTTTACCCAACAGCCTCTCCACAGTGAGATTTCCTCAACTCCTTCATTGCTGGGACTCCAAAGCAGTGGAAGTGGTGAGCCAATGATAGAAAGCTTGGTGGATCCCGTGGAGGAGCTACGAGAGGCTGTAGAGATACTGAATGACACTGCAAGGGAAAGA